CCATCGAAGAGACGCAGCGTGGAATGGCGGACAAGTCGCATAATGGAATACTTTTATCCGCGTGGGCACTATCGTTAATTATTCAAGAACGAATTCTCATACGTTAACCGAATCCCGATGACTGTGCGGTGTTGGTCGTACGTTCTCGCGCGCTAAAATTCAATGTAGTTTCTGCGGTTGAGGCGTCTGCTTGCCTGAAATAGAGAAGCTCAATTTTCGTGAAACCAAAGCGCCGTTATTTATTGGCAGTTGCGAAGTGCATATAATTTACGTATAATTTATTAGAAATCATTTATCGTTAATCGTTTATTGTCAAGATAAATATGCCAGACTTTTCAATTTTTTTATATAAATACAAAAAGATTGAGAAGTTTGATATGTGTTCATCTGTTATAGATCTTTTATATAATATTCAAGAAGAGCTTTTTAAGATAGTATTATATATTTAAATAGAGTTATTTTTTTTATATTAAGATGTTGGAGATCTATTTCGCTTCATAAATGTATTAGTACGACGTCGGCTGCAGAGTGCAGAGTTCGCGGATCTCTGACTTCTCTATTAAGAAATCCACTAAGAGGGTGGTTAATGACCTGTGACTACTCTTGAGAGTGACATCTGAACTGATACTCGTTTCCACGTCGTAATCGATCAAATTTCTTCTGTCCGCCTAAGTATCGTATCTGATATTGTACAAGTGACTGCAACATTGCTTACTGCATTCAATCATTTACGCTCACTGACATTGTACGTCCATGACAACGGCATGAAAGAATATGTCATACAATATGTATATACGATTTACAAAAAAAGTATCTCACTATTTACGTTACACCCTTTTGATGGATAATGGTGTAACAATGAAAAATATTAAAAAGAAAAATACAAGCAGGTGTTACTTGTCGCGACAGAGCTCGCAAACTGATCACAAGTGAGGGTAACAAATTAATCTCTTGCGGAAACAAGGGTCGGAGCTCGTGTATCGTTAAAACGGAAGTGTAACCAGACGTGATGCATCGTCGAAAGGAAAATGCAATGCGCACGATACACGTGAAATTCAGGAAGGCTGAATCTGACCGTCGAACGCGAGCAGTCGTGTTTAGGGGTGAGTTTTTTAGGCTTAACCCAATTGCAGCGAGACGACAACGATATAGTGCCTTCCGCTTCAAAGGCGAGTTCGTAAATAACCACCCTTGCACGATCCCTCAAGCGTTCGCTAATGCATCGTGCCACCCTTACGTTCGAGAAATTTATCGTTTTCTAGTTGAATGAGAAATATTCCAGCCATCTCACGCGAACACGGCGATCCGCGTAAGTTTCCCGGCGGAGGTAGACGCCGAATTTATAATGAAATCACCCTCTCTCCGCCGGAGAATGAATATATTTTCAAGAATACTACAATTCCCCACCGCAAGTCGGCGCAGCGACTTGTCATCGTTCACGCGTTACAAACTGATTTACGTGTTTATCCCTTAACGTAATATTCTCGTTACAAAATTCTATTTCGATTTCACGTAACTTAAACGTATTTGATAACGTCACCATACTCTCGCACGAACCCAAAGAATTGAGACTAAAAGACCGATAAGAAGAGCCAACGTCCTTCAATGCGACAATGTGTCCTTTGAAATTTATAGCTTTTGCTGGGAAAATCTGATGCAGCCTGTTACTCCGTAGAGCATCAACGCCGACAATCGCGAGCGTGGCCTCAACTTTCCAGCAAGTGGTACTCGATAATTCATGGTAAGGAGGCTTAAGTCGCGCATCCACGCGAGACTACCACGGGGAATGGCGTCGGGGCACGCTCAGACGCTGTCGTCTAACAGGTGCCGATGGATATATCATCGGAACGGCGGCAGGGTAGTTTGCATGAAGACCCCTCTGTCGACCCCGTCTTCTATGCCGAGGGTGACCTCCTCGGCGGTGATAGATCGCTTGAATTATAGGCATCGCTAGTCTTGCGCGTCCTATGATGCTCTCCGATGCAGAAGCGGTTTTCACGGGGAGTTTCCCCTACACTCCGCGGGCGCGAGGTGACGCTTACTCAACTTTTGAAAATCCTTCACGGTTAACATCGATCGACGTTCACTAGGAATTAATCCGACTCAGCGGAGCGAAACGAGCTATGCACTAATTTGTTGAACATTAAACCGTTGCTACCGTTATTTACGGATTTACTTCGGATGTAGCAACGCCGAATTAATAATATAATAAATGCCGAATTATATTATCACCTATTTTTACAATATTTTTAGAATATTTTTATAATTTGATTACGCATCGCTTAGACGCTTTTCATTACAATTAAATCAGATTTTTCAACCAATTATGAATGGTTGAAATGAAAGGAGAAGATTCGATATGAAGATTCTAAACGAAGATGTGTTTCGGGATCATATGAATTTCCAATGGGTGC